ACAACCTTGGCTATGGCAACCTTCTTCAAGTGTCAAAGCTCACCATATCAAGTGGGTCATAGCCCCTACCTTGGCTAGAGGAAAATAAATCCTCTTTGCCCCTTGCTGGGATAGTTGATTCACCATGACCTGCATCACAAGCCCTTGAGATCTTTGAAATGGGTTAGGATGTATGCAATGGTATGATGTTATGGTATGCATGGGGTAATGTGGGTAACCCTGTTAGGAGTCCCAATTAAGGACTGTAAATAAAGCCTGCAAGAAATTTAGTACACCCTGTTATGAGTCCCAATTAAGGACTATAAACAAAACCTGCAGGGAAATCAAGTGTCAGATAACACGCATGCAAATAGTCAAATTGGAAGGCACACAAGTCACACAAGAGAAACCCTTAGAGTTTAGGCCAGTATGAGGTCTGGGTATTACCCTCTTGAAGTTAGTGGGCTCAACCTGTCCTATTAGAAGTAACCGGGTTCTAAGGGTCTCAATATCACGGGATTGCTTTCATTGTTCATCGTTTCGATTTAGCCACTGAACTGGCGACCGAAATATTCCAGGAAAGCAACCCTTAATTGAGTGTAGTATCGAGTATCAACCAACCTCGGACTTCACCAAAGTCAGTTATCTCACTACCCTAAAGAGGCCAAGATAGTTCAATTAAGGTTCCTAAGGTCTGTTGATGCTTCATGACACCACGCGGAGGCCCCGTACTCTCCTTGACTGAACTCAAGGGTTACCGGTACACACCAAAGTGCCACATCAATGTAGCAGACTATTTCAACCATGTCGGTATACCCCGCACAGTTCCCTCACAACCTTGTTGCTACTTTCTAAGAAGGTATCCCCAGATCCGGGTTAGGATCTATAGAACTCCCAAGACAGTCCCACAATTTAAAGCAAACAAGTCAAAGTAATTGAAAACACAATGATCTTAGTCCTAAGGTACACCTCACTTTAAAAGTATCCCCAGCAGAGTCGCCAGTTCTGTGATCGGTGGACCTGGAACTGACTATTTTTTAGCTGGTTTCACGAAATGTCGCGGTAAGCAAGAGTCGCCACCGTCTTTTATTTTCTCCAACATGGAAAGGACAAAAGCACAGAAAAATTCCTTATTGAGATTAGTTCTCGGTTCAGGAGGTAGATTTATAGAAAGGGAAGGTGTTAGCACCCTTTCTATCCATGGTTATCCAAGGGCTCTTAGATACTTGCTCATTTGTGTTTTCAAAATGTTTGTTTGCTTTTCAAGGTGAGTTTTAAAAAGTTTCTTTGAAAATTTCAGTTCGACTCTTGTATCGGTCCTCAAGAGTGTTTGAAAAGTTGCTTTCGAAAGCTTTTTGAAAAGGTGTCGGTGTGAAAAGTATTTTTTGATTTGTTTTGAAATTAGAGCAAGTATCTAGAGTCGTCTACCTACCCTAAGGAATTCGTCTGTGTAGATGTCCTTTAAAGTAGTGCCATCCCACCATTGGAGGTGTTCGGGTCAATTCGTGGTTCGGGACATGGTGATCACCAGAGCAATGGGAAGACACCTTAGAAGCTACCCTCATGCCAGGTTCCCAGATCATGAGGACTTACTAAGACATCCTCTACTCGACGATCACCTTTCGAGGCAAGGCAACAGTGAGGCGTACCCTAGGGGTGGTGTGTGATTTGTGTGTCAGGTTCATTTGCATTTACCTTGTCATGTCAAAGTGATCTATGCGTTTGTTTTTATTTAATCATTCATTCTTGCATGCATTTATTTAACAGTTAAAAAAGTGCGGAATTAAAAGTTCCTACGCTATTACAAAGGCGCGGGTCCACATCGCCAAAATTTCCAGGACCCGATTTGACAGAAAAATAAAGAAATAAGGTAAAGTGCGAGAAATTAAGTTTACACGGCTTTGGGAGAATTACAGAAATAATTAAAAGAAACAAAATAAAACGCGCGAATTAAATTAAGATTAGAAACGAGGGCGTTGGACCCTTTAATGAAATTAAATTATTATTTACAAATTAATTCAATTAAAATAAAAAGAGAAATTATTTTTGAGGTTTTCGTATTTATGATTTTTTAATGAGAATTAAATGAGATTAACTAACTAACCCTAATTCTAATTGTTTTTTTTAGTTTATTAAGAAAGTATTAAATTTTAACCTAAAATTAATCTAACTATTCACATGCAATTTGATTTATAAAAATAAGTAATATTTAGTTATTAGTGAGAAGAAAAGAAAAAGTAATTAAAATTATTAAAACCCTAATTCTACCAATTTTAAGTTTATTAGAAAAATATTAAGATTTAAACCTAAATTAAAAAAACTAAAATTAATTAATGATGTTTATTTACAAAAATATTAAAATAAAATATATTTTTAATTTTTATGGCCTTTCTGATTTTTTGTGTTTTTTATATTATCATGAAAATAATTAATTAAAGAAATTGTTAAAAAAAGAAATAGTTGAATCAAATAAAAAATGGAAAATATATAAAAGAAATTGCAAACCTAGGGGGGTCTGTCCCCAAATTGGGAGGTGAGATCTTAGCATTTTAGGCCCATTAATCTTTGGCCTCTTTTGACTTCTATGCCAGCGTGCAGCACTTTTGACTCATGTCCCTGATGTTCTTCCAACTATGGCCCTTGGACTGATCTTGCTATACGCGTGGCAAACTGGACTGTGAGTTGCATGGTGGACGCTTTGGACTGAAGCTGCACAGGATAAGATTAGAAAAAATATTATGGAAAGGGAGGGGGACCTGGGATTCGAACCCAGGTCCTGGAGATTACCAATAAGCTTGCTTGCCACTGAGCCACCAACGCGCTTTTGTTTATATAATAACTAACAAATAATATGAAATAAAACAAAAGTTAGTGGGGCGCTTTCGCGCGAAATTTGAACGATCCAATCACTGGCCTCCACTTCATCATCTTCTTCCTTAATGATTTTTTTCCTGAAACAAAAAAAGAAATTGGCAACGGTTTTGAACTGTCCCCTTATACCCCATTCTGGAAAATAGCGACTAGCTCCTGGCGTCACATAAATTAGGCGCGAGGGGTGTGTTGTGTTCGTCCAAGCACGCTGAATTCAACCATGGTATTATGGTGTCTCAATTTTACCATATTAAGAAACGCCCAAATTAGAACTTGAAAAACCCTAGATATCTTTAATGGTGAATCCTTATATAACGCGTGAAAACTCAATCAAAGCATATGGTTAGTTTCAGAATCATCCAATTAGTAAGAATCCATGAAAAAATGCAATGAATATGCTTGAATACTAAAACACGATTATGAAAAAAATGTGAAAAAGTTTGAATCCTATTCACCAATTCTGGGCGTTAGGGACGTGGAAAGTGATTCAAAAACGTTTCTTGATGTCTCAGGAAGGTAATGAGATGATTATCTCAGCTTGAATCGCCCTGGAAGACAGTTTTCAGTATTGGACTTTTTTTGAGAAAATTCAAGTTTTTGTTATGGCTTTTCTGCGCAGCTGGGAACTCCTTGGCATTAGGGTTGCACTATGTATATATGTGTGAAGGTTTTAGGTCAAAGAAATCAAACAAAAACCTTTGCATTCATGATTTTCAAGATTTGATTTTCAAGAATCTTTTCCAATATTTCTTCATGCCTATTTGGTACAAATCATGACCAATCACTTCAATTCCTTCCATATCTGATCATGCACGAAATCTTAAGCCTATTCCATGCACAAAAAGATTTGATTGCATTGGTTTGGTATTTTTCATGTATTTTAATTAATTAAATGAATTATTAATAATTAAAAATCCAAATAAATAAATAACAATGAAAAAAAACTTCCCTTTGGGCCAAATGGTCGTGCACATGCCTTGGATGATGAATTGTGGAAGAAAAAGAGGCCCATTAGCATTTTTAAGACATTTGAAGCAATGTTGACTTTTCAAAATATCCAAAAATTTCCCAACTTCCACAAGGCATAACTTGCTCAATTTTTAAGCTTTGCTCATGTTCTTGGACATTTTGGAAAGGTCTTTGAGTCCTCTAACCAATGTCTTTGGTCGCGTGTCATTTTGGTTTACCAATCTCAAGTTATGGTCTTTGACTTAAAGTCCCTTTTTGTTGACTTTTGAAAATGACCTATAATGTTGAAATTGATAACTTTTTGTGAGAGCATTTCTTGGACTTGAAGTGTGAAGAGGAGTTGTAGAAAATGTCTTTCTCTTCAAAATGAGCTTTGGATGGAATTTTTCTGATAAACCATGTGAAAGTTATGCCCTGGTCAAGTTACAGTTGACTTTTTCAACTGTCCAAATATGGAAACTTTTGCATCTTGAGACTTTTTGAGCCATGCTTTGAGAATCATGATCAAGCATTGATCAAATGATGTTTGTGGCTTCAAAATGATATGTTGACCAAAAATTTGAACTTTTGACTGTCAAATGACCATTTTGCCCCTATAGTTGACTGTAGTGCAATTAGGGTTTTTGGCTGTGCAATTTTGTGCTGTAAGTCTTGAAACTTGGTATGAAGATGCTTGACCATGTTTGTAGGCATGTGGGACTTGATTGGACCCTTGGAAACTTCATTTTCTTTGCCAGAACCAAAACCCTAGTTTTTGACTGTTTAGGAGGCCCTTGAACTGTGCAACCCTTGGGGAGATTTTGAAGCTTTGACTTGGCAAATATTGAAGAATATGGGAGGGCAAATTTTGGGGTACAACACTGACCATGACAAACAACTGCAAGCCTTTTTTCATCAATCAAATTTATCTGGTCAATTCGAGTCTGAATCCATTCGTCTTTATCTAAACCTGCGTCTTTCATAATCCTTAGGGAAGGAATATGGACTTTAACATGTAAGACATCCTCCATATCACAGACTAGAGAGAACGAGGTTTCTCCAGTTGATGTACGTTCTGAATTTTGATAACCATGCAGAGCAAATGGTAACATCTCATGCCAATCTTTGTATATCATTGTCATCTTCTGCAAGATCTTCTTGATATTCTTGTTGGCGACTTCCACTGTGCCATTCATCTTTGATCAGTACGGAGAAGAATTGTGATGCTTAATATTGAACTGCATGTAGAGTTTTTGTATAAAATACAAAATGAAAATGGGATCTTAGGTAAAAAATTAGGATATGACAGGAGGCTTTGGTCTTATCAATCCTCTAATTAATCATCATAAATTTTGGACTAAGTGAATCATTTAAACATCGTTGATCATTTATTGTTGCCTTGAGATTTTGAAATGAATGATATACTTGACAAAAAGCAAATGAAACTTGTTGTTGAGAGGCTTGGATTTTATCAATCTTCTAATAAGTTTTCAAATGCAAGATTCAAGATGGTCATTCAACTAACCTCTAATTTCTAACTCATTAACAATTGACTTTTATTTATATTCTTTTACTTTTTGCTTTTACTTTAAGCACCATTTATCTTAGCATTTACATTTTATGCTATTTTCATCTTTGCTCACTTGAGCACTTATCTTCATGTCTTTTCATTTTGCTCATTTGAGATTTTCATTCTCTTTTTGAAGATACTTAATAACCAAATTGAACAATAAAAAACTTTAAGGTTACTTGGACTATTTGGTTACTATCCTTGGCATTTTGGAGTTATGGACTTCTTGGACTTAGGATTACAAACCTTGACCTACCTTGGGACCTTGGGACTTCTACTATATTTTGTCTGGAGTTCTTGGGGTTTACCCCGAGACATTGGGTTGTTTGTTTTCTTTGTGTGCAGGTTATTCTGATTATATGTTGTGTGTAATTGGGAATTCATCTTTATACAGCCGTTACTCTGCCCAATTTTTGTGAAGACTTAATGCACTTGAAGTTTGGTATTATTAAGAGGTTTAATATCTTTGCTTGTTTGGTTTTAATCCAAAGGATGAGAATTCTAAATTGAATTATTGTGTCAAGTGTTGGCTTATTATTAGTTAGACTGTTCTTTTCCCTAGCTTTTATCTCATGCTTTAGGATAGTCCCTTCATCTCCTTCCACCTTCTTTCATTTCAAAAATCTTCTCCCTCCTTTCAAAATTATTCTTGTTTTTAAACTTGAACTGCTTTCACAATAAACTTGGACTTAGGTTCATGCATTTTCAAAAATATTCTCTTAATCAAATTTTAAACAACTTAATAATACTTTGACATTTTTGTGAGAAGACTAAAAGTCAATCAATCTCATTCAAACCATTTTGCCACTTTGGTTTTTCACATTGAAAAAATTTCTCAAAAGATTAGACTCCTGTCAATCCTTGTAGTGATGCGAGATATACTTCTATGATATGCAGTGAAGTGAGATATTTTCCACTTGGGTGTTGAGCGAGGCTTTGTTAATTTTAAAATCCAAGCCATATCATCCACTTTGAGATGATGCAAATTCTCCTTTCTCATAATTGTGGGTAGTAAGTATGTTCTTCCACTCGGATAAGTTGATGATGTCTCGACTCTTAAAATTAACCAACACATTTGTGTTTTAAAATTTTTAAAGGTGAACTACGAGTACCATGATCCCCTATTGCACAGAAGGTGGTACGTATGCACTAAAGGTTCGCAACCGTGGCGGGTACAAAAATCATAAAAAAATACTTCTTCTCTCATCTCTACCATCTAATTTTGTATACAACATTTATAGCCAAAATACACAAATTTACAAAGAGGTTTCTGCGGAGTACCGTAGATGTTTATGGTGCTAATACCTTCCCTTTGCATAACCAATCCTCGAACTTAGATTCTCTCCCCTTCTTTTTTGGTTTATTCGCTCTATTCCCATTCCTTTGGAAACAATAAAGCGCGGTGGCAATTTTTATTTTGATATGTGCGAGTCAAGTCAATCCAATGGCTTAGTCTCAATATTTTTACCGCTACAGAAAAATGGCGACTTCACCATGGAAAGATTGACCAAATGTTGGTCCATCCCTAAGTGGGTTAAGCCCATCTTTATTTATTTGTATATGTGCTATTATTTGTTTATATATTATGTGTTGTATATATGTTCGTCTGGATTTTCCTGGTTTTCAGGGTGCTTGGTGATTTTTCATAAGTCCTCTACCCGAACTTAGGAAAACTTAAGATAGGACGAGCGGTATATTCATGTTAACTTTGAGGGAGTAATCCCAAAAAAAGAGGCATGAGATCCCCAACTCATTGGAAGCCCCTTTGACTGTAGTGTCGGTTATCGAGTAATCGAGAAGACGTACTGCTTTCGACCTGGAAGCCTGCTGAAACTGAGGACCATGGAACCTTTAACCCATCTTGGCCTTTTAGGTGTAGTGCGGAAACTATGATAGAGTAATCCAGAAGTGGTTGTTACGCGATACTACACTCAGACGAGTTTTCTTGAGAATATTACTAATTACCGAGTCAATCGGGACGTTGGTAATCCAAAGGAAGGATGTAGACTTTGGGAACCTCTTAGAACCTTGTTCGGCAGGTGATAAACTATTAGACCATACCTTGTGGGTAGTACCTTTGACTTCATACTCGTAACATCAAACCTATGAACCCCCCATGTTTGTGATCTTGTGTGTGATTGTTGCATCATGCATTCATGCACCCATAAGCATCCTTTAAAACATGTGTTTCAAGGGACTTAAAGTTGACTTTTTACAAATATCTCAGGTACTTTTTACCATGGATTTTGGAAAAAGAAAGACTCATAAGTACAGTTTCAAGGATCCTAAGTAGATGATTTGATGAGTCTGATTCCCGAGATTGAGAGTTCTGCTGATTCTCGAAAGAAATATGGATCCATCGTGTCTCTTATGAAACTTAGGATGAAGGAGGGAATTCTCTCGACTTTGGTCCAGTTCTATGATCCGGTGTATCTATGTTTCACTTTCCCTTATTATCAGTTGATGCCTACATTGGAGGAGTATTCTTACATACCGGGTTTACCTATCACCGATCATGTTCCTTTCACCAGTTTGGAGGGAGAGCCAAAGTCCCATGAGATAGCTATTATGGTTCATTTGGGGAAGTCTGAGATTGAGGCCCACATGACAACCAAAGGAGGAATTAGAGGATTACTCACTTTTTATTGGAGAAAGCTCGTTATTTCTCCAAGATGAAGAGTATAGTTTCTTTTGAGGCTATCTTTTCTCTACTTGCTTATGGGTTATTCTTATTTCCTAAGATCGACAAATTTGTGGATGTCAATGCCATCAGGATCTTTTTGATTAGGAATCTAGTCCCTACATTATTAGGAGATGCTTATTACTCCATTCATATTCGGGATTCTTATCATGGAGGGATGATCATTCGCAAACTACCATTCTATTAATAAAGTTTGAGCTTTTATCCAATTCTTTGTAATTCTTATTTTATTCTGCTTACAAATATTCCATTTATTATTGATAGTAATTTTCAAAATAAAGATATTTAATAATAAAATTATTTTTGAAAAGAATTTACAAATTACTTTTTACTTTAGATTTTGTGACTCAAGAAAAACAAAAATAGTGATTCCGAGGATGGACGAACTCTGAAGTTTTGGAAGTATATATTCCCCAGGAAAGTTCTTTCAGGTTGCTCTCGTTGATATTCATATGATCTTCTTGTTGTTCTCAAATAGTTGGAGATGATACCAATTGATGTATGGTGCGGTGTTGGGTTTGTGATCCCATTTTCCTCAGTCAAGTCTTGGTTCATTTGTTTTCCTCCTGGATGATTATTTTGATTTCGGGTTTTGCATGGTCTGACGCCTCTATCCCAGATTCCCCAGTAAGGTCTTCGCGCACCTGAAGAAAGGCCCTTTGTGTGCTGAGGTGGAATCATTTGCAAAACATCTCCCTTTGCAGTAATGGCATTATTACTGTTGTTTGTTTCCCAAGCAACTAGACAATGGAAGTATCTTTTCTAAGGAATGTTGAAACAGGTGTCAACTTTTTTTGGGTTTTCTCCCGCCAAGCGCTGGGTTTGATTTAAAATCCCCATAATTTTGATTTCTTATTGTATTGTTTAAATTCTTAGATCCCCAAGTAAAGTTGAGTTAATGTTTTTCTCAGGAAGTTGTTATCCCCGTGTGATTTCATAATTTCTCCATAGAGAAGTTTGTGTAATCATCACTCTTAGTATTTAAGAATGTATTTTAGGCCCCCCTTGATAATATGGTGTTGTACTCCCCAATGAAGTCAACACGGGATCCCCAGTTGATATCTCGACCGTATGGTTTTCATCTGTCCTAATGAAGTCAGTATTGTAATCCCCAGTGGAAGTACAGACGTTGAAGCATTGTTTTCCCTATTGAAGTCTGTGTGACGTCCCCTAGTGAAGCCTAAAGGAGGATGTTATATCCCTATATCTGTCTTGATTTACTATTTTGATTTGATTATTTTCAGATTAGGTTCCTTCTCAGTGAAATTAAGTCGTGAAATAGGAATTTGTGTCCTCAGTTGGTGCTTACTTTCTTTTGAGATTCTCATCCTGGATGTGATTTAGCCGAGTGTTGACTTTACCCAAGCTGGTTTTGTTTGGTTATTCTCAGTGTTGTGTTTCTGTGTTGTTAGCATATACATAATAACATTCATACATGCATATATCATGCATAGATGAATTTAACAGTTCATTGCTCATCTGCATTCATTAATATTTTGTTGGCATGTTACCCTATTTTGCAAAGTTATATTACCTTCTCTCCAATAGAATGTCAACCTTAAGCAGAAAGTGTATATTCTTTCAATTTTCCCACTTAGTTATCCCTCGTGGAAGAATTTTGATTTAGCCTTCTTATCCAGCTCATTATCTTGTTAGATCCATTTTTCCCTTATTGAGTTTATTTCTCATCAGGTGCTATCTTGGTTGACTGTTTCACTCCGGTTTATTTCTGGTTTGAATCTATGGTCCCCGACAACATTATTATTATGATTTATGTAGGCTCTAAGCCCTAGTTTGATAATATGTATTTATTTTGCATAAGAAGATTTTATCTCCTCAGTATGAATATATTGAAACTTCCCCGGAGAAGTCATATTTCTTTGCCTGAAGGTTTTCTTATAACAACAAGTGGCATGTCTCTTTATTTGAGAAACCTTACTTCCCCAGTAAGTTAGTTAATTCCCCGAGGAAATTCATTTGTTACTCCAATGGATGGTTGTCTCGTTATTATGGAAGATAGTTCTTTGTTGAGATGTTTACTCCGATGAATGATAGTCTCGTCATTATGGGAGATAGTTCGTTGTTGATATTTTTTACTCCGATGAATGGTAGTCTCATCATTTTGGGATATAGTTCATTGTTGAGATGTTTACTCCGATGAATGGTAGTCTCGTCATTATGGGAGATAGTTTGTTGTTGAGATGTTTACTCCGATGAATGGTAGTCTCGTCATTATGGGAGATATTTTGTTGTTGAGATGTTTACTCCGATGAATGGTAGTCTCGTTATTATGGGAGATAGTTCATTTTTGAGATGTTTACTCTGATGAATGGTAGTCTCGTCATTATGAGAGATAATTCATTACTGAAATGTTTACTCCGATAAATGGTAGTCTCGTCATTATGAGAGATAGTTTGTTGTTGAGATGTTTACTTCGATGAATGGTAGTCTCGCCATTATGGGAGATATTTCATTATTGAGATGTTTACTCTGATGAATGGTAGTCTCATCATTATGGGAGATAGTTTGTTGTTGAGATATTTACTTCGATGAATGGTAGTCTCGTTATTATGGGAGATAGTTCATTGTTGAGATGTTTAGATATGAATGTTGGAAGGCAGTGTGTTTACAACAAAGAGTCTAATGTGTACCTGAACCTCTTGTTTAACATCAAGACAAATGATCCAACAGCCAAACGAAGAAAAGTGCTTCAAGTCATGCTCCTAGAAACATGAGATTATGTTTTGAAATTCTCAATCAACCCATTACTAAAATCAAAATAAGGAAAAGGAATTGAAAGAACAACTTAAGCTATCCTAAGCACTTATGTAAATAAGCTAAAAAACAGCTTATGGACATGTCATAAAATGTTCTCATAAGTTTTTTCAAACAATCTCAAAAGTGTTTATATCAACCGATAAGCTCAAGTAAGTGAATCCAAATAGGCACCAAATGAACATGCATACAACTTATGATTTTGTAGGCTTCACAAACAATTCACAACCAACTAAAAATAAATGAAATAATCTTCCTAGATTTGTGAATATATGTATTAGTGAATACTACTACAATCTTGTGACCTAGCAAAATATGACTTTTGTCTTTCTTCTTGCTGATTACTGGAATAAATATATTTTTCAAGTTGTTGAATTTTCTTATTCAGGCGTGACCTAGCATTAGCAACAAATTATACTTTCATTCTAATTGTTATTCAGCTCAAAACAAATAGAGAAAATTATTCCAAGTATAATAATGAAGCATAATAATAAAAGTAACTATGATGGAGCCTTTAGAAATTTTCTTGAATGCAGTATATATAAAAAAAATGAAAATGCCATGGAGGGGAAATAATTCCAAGGTAAACGTAAAGGCACCCTGTCTTGGTGAAGCTTTTCTATCTACACCTAACTGAGATTTTCAACATTGTCAAACAGATCATTAGAGGTTGCAATAAGAGTATCCTTAAATTCCTGTAAATGACTTGCTGCTTCAGGGCATAGCCCTAACTACGTTCAGTTTCAAAATTAGGCATAACAATCTAACAAATGAGCAAGGAAACTCATGATACACCAAAACACATCCAATCAATACCTTGTATCTGCGGATGCAATCTAAGCAGAGCTCTAGTGGCAAAAAAGTAACTCCTTGTCTGACAAAGTTATCCTTATCCAGAGTTGGTATAAACTCTTTCCAGATTATTTGTCTGGAAAAGTAACTCTGTGGTGTGCTTTTTTCATGTGTGCAAGATTAAGTTCTCATATTTGTCAATCAAGCATACTCTAACACAAATTTCCAGTGAAAAGAGTATTTAATGTTTGTCCCAAATCACCTGAAATGATGATATATTTATTTATTTTGGAGAGCAGAAAAATTGAAATCATGAGAAATCAAAATGAAATTTGTTATACACTTATCTTCTTCTTCATTTATTCAGATCGCATACTGCAACTTTCTTCTTCCTCAAAACCTAATGCTCTGATCTCAACTGGAATCTCCTCAAAACCTATCGATGCAATTGAGAAAGAACAAACTTAATACAAAATCGATTAATACAAACAATGAACATGAAACATTGGTGTGGGAAATGAAATGAACTTGAAACTTTCAACCAAACTCACTAATACCTGAGGAGAAATTCGGAGAAGCTGGACCTGGAAGAAGGAAGAAAGTCGATTATTGATAAACTCATAAATCCTTGAGCAGCAAAATCGATTCATGAAATCATTGAGGAAACAGAAATCACTAGGAGAAGGACGAGATTATGGGTTACCATGAAAACATGGAGGTGGTGATGGTCGTAGATATGGCAACGAAGATTTAGGATTTGGTTGAAAGAGAGAACACGGAGAGAGAAAAGGGTAGACGAGAAAGAGGGAGAAAGAGAGAGAATATAATGAAAGTATTGATTGTTGTTTGTAATTGTCTACCGGATAATGCAAAGTTTCGGCCAACATCCAATGCAATGTTTCAAATATATGCGCTACTTAAAAGAATGGAACAATTTGATTGGTTGAATTTAATTGATTTAGCAAATTACAATTAAAAGTTTTTTTGTAGTATAAAATTAATAATAATAAAAGGATAATTAAGGGTGTTTAGTGGCATGTAATTGTCTTACTTAGGTAGTTGATTTTTAAAACAGAATCTTTATATGATGAAAATATAAAATTATTTCACACTATAATTCAATTACACTATAATTGCATACATGTAAAGAATAAGGCGTAAACCAAGATGATAAATAAACTTGAAGATATATTGATTCATGTATTTATAGGGAGAAACTGAAGAGTCAAAAAATATTGAAAGTGGAGTTATAATAAACCAAAAAAGGTAGAGTATCGTGAAGGGATATGCTTAACATGCAATAATAATTGTATGGTTTCCAATTCCATGTGAAAACGGAGCTTATGATATTGACACGTCGATGCTTCATTTTTTAACTAACCATCTTGTTGTTATTATAACCATCATCATCCTGTGAATCTCTTTAGTCACTGCTTTCATATTGGTCGGTAGAATGCGTGTGCATATTGAAACTTGTTTGTAACTCTTGGTTTCTTTTTTTTGGAGTTATGGCCAAAACCAAAACAAGACGCAAGGTTGTTTACACTGGAAGGTGATTGGACTCATTAATATTTTTATAAAGACTTAATGACAATTTTAAAATCTTAAATTTTAGTCAGTATTTTGAGTTTTTTTTTAAAGATTTTAGTCTTCTCGTGAATTTGAAAGCAATTTTTAATAATATAGAATTCACATTGATAACACGTTTAACATAAATCTTAAATAAAAATATCTTTTTAAACAATTTACTATTGAAGTGACACATACATATCATCAATATTAACATCGGATCATTAAAAATTATCTTAGAATTTTTTGAGATTAAAATCTTAAAAAAAACTAAAATATAAAGATTAAAATTATGAATTTTAAAATAGAATAACTAAAACCCGAAAAAAAACATAGAGAAACTAAAATTACAATTAAATCTTTTATAAACTACTATGTTAATTAAATGTTTGATCCCAAAATAATCAAATATTTGAATCATCTAAAACAATTTATAGACAGTAAGGTTTGTTCTAGTTTTTAGGTTACTTTGAAATTATAAGGGTATATGAAAACAATTTTTGACATGCTTTTAGTTTATGTGTAGTATAATTTATGAAAATACTAGTGTTGTTAAGAAAAATAACTGTTAGGATAATAAAAGTATGTCGGTAGTTTAGGAAATTAGGTTGTTAGTTGATTAAGCCTCAAATATGCATGAATTTATTGTTAATTGTATGCTTATTAGTACAAATCAATACTACGAATAAATGATATTATTTCGACGGATTAAGTGTTTTTATTTCGGTTTTGTGGGTGAGATAAAGAAGTTTATTATGAAAAGTACGTCACTTTTTCTTTTGATTGTACATTTAATAAAAATAAGTGGATGTATTGTAACAAATTTCATAGAGTTTGCTATAATATACTCATTTCTTTTTATGAAATTATTCTAGTTTGTTTGAATTTAAATTACTTCAGTTTATTCGCTAAGGTGATTTCGCCTCTCTCAACAAGATCTCAATTCATTAATCAAACTTGATTACACAGCTACTATGACAACCGTCAAAGTCTTCTTGAATTTAAACCACAATCTGATTTTCTCAAGGAATTACACTATACAATATATAAGAGAGTGTACAAAAAGTATTTTCTAATAAAACAGTATCACACAAGTGATGTTTTACGCAAATGAAATTCAGTGCGTTGAAGGTGATAAAGATGACTCGTTTGTTGTGCACTCAAAATCGTAAACGATTTCTCCTTCACACTAGGCAACGCGTGTGGGAGCTTTTGGAATGTTAATAAATAGTAATTAAAGAGCTTTTCAAAAATAGAGATTCTTGTTCCCTTTCATCAGTTACTTTTGAATAGCCATAAGTGATTTGTAACGCTTCAGAACATGCTTACTTCCGAAGATGAATGTTATCGTTACTTCTTTCCAGAATTGTATGAATCAGAATAACAGAGTTCTTGTTCGCAGCATTTAGGCACTCAAAAGTTACAGCTTTAGAACTTCTTTATAAAAGATATATTGAATCAGAGTTTGAACAACTATCTAACTCATCTTTTGTGCTTCTTCCATCAGAACTTCTCTGTAAAACAAAATATTTATTAAGGGAGCATAATTGTTCTTTGAGTGTTTGTTATCATCAAAACTCTTACAAGGGTTGTAGAATCAAACTATGTTCTAACAATCTCCCCCTTTTTATGATGACAAAAACTTGGATATTTCGATAGAAACTTAAAGAACATAAAGCATTTAAAGCCTTCCTGTTGTACCCCAAAATTTTCCCTCCCATATTTCTCAAGACATGTCAAGAATAATCTCCAAGTGACTCAAGTTAGCTCAAGAGTTGGACAGTCAAATCACCTCCTAAGGCAGTCAATCTCAAATTAGGGTTTTGTGTTGTATCAAGGTCCTTGCATCCAAATGACCTCAAGTTCTCCCCAATGTCCTAAGGTGTTCTCAAGGTCATCCATATCAAATTTCAAGCCTTGTAGAGGAAGTTTGGTCAGTCAATTGCTCAAGAGGTCCAAAAATCGACTGTGTTAGGGCAAAAGTCAACTGTGACCTACAAATAGTCAAACCTCAAGATTTTTTGTCAACATTATCATTTTGAAGGTTAATTCATCATTTGATCAAGGGTTGATCATGATTCATCAAGGATTTCTCAAGATTCATCAAGATTCAAAAGTTGCTAAATTAGGGTTTTGTAGGAAAAGTCAACTCAAATTTGACCAAGCATAACTTTCTCATACTTTATGATAAATGACCCATCCAAAGCTCATTTTGAAGAGGATGCAATTTCCTACAATCCATCTTCACACCCCAAGATCAAGAAATGCACTCACAAAAAGTTGCAAATTTGGACATTATAGGTCATTTTTGAAAGACAACAAAAAGACATTTTTTTTCCAAGGCTTATAACTTGAGCATGGAATATCAAAATGAGATGAGACCAAAATGGTTGGTTAGAGGACATCTCAAGGTTTCTAAAAAGTCCAAGAACACTTCCAAAAGCTCAAAATTGAAGAAGTTATGCATTGTTGAAGTTGGGCATTTTTCCAAAATTGCCAAAAGTCAACTATCCCCAAAACATCAAATTTTGCCAAATGGGCCCACTTTTTTCCACTTGATTTGATCTTGTCACACCACACACGTGTCCTATCTTCAATTTTATGTCCAATTATTAATTTTTCTATTTTATTTGATTTTTATTGATTTAATTCATTTTAAATCAATTTAAATCCAAATAAAATCCAAATCTTAATCAAATGGTATCTTTTTGATCATTACAGGTCTTTAATATCATTATGGATATGACCAAATTCGAATCAAGGCATATCATGACCAAATATTGGATTTTTTGACAAATAAGGAAGCTTGTTCATGGTGAATCATATCATATCCAAAATCTTCAATGCTCATGGATTCAAGCCCAAATTTTTAACCTAAATCATACTTAGAGCCCGATTCAAAGCAAAATCTCCACATAGACCTCTTGTTGGAGATCCACTGAAGCTGTTGCAACCATTCACAAGCCCTGAAACCTCCTAAAACTCATTGTAAGTCGTCCTGAACATAACCCTGTACATGAGATCGTGATTCTATATTTTGGCATCTTTTGGACAAAGCGTTGGTATAATCATGTTTTCCATTCAATTTCCAGTCTTTCTGCATCATTTAATTTTGTTTTCATGAGCTATATCGCCATACCCGAACCTAGGGTTTTGGAGACTTGTATTTGGGCGTTCGTTTTACAGGAAAAATCAGGACCAACCATGGGCATAAATGAAATCAGGGGGAAGAGAAGAATTTTTATCCAAAATCTTCAATGCTCATGGATTCAAGCCCAAATTTTTAACCTAATACAACCCTTGTTACATACACAAGTGAGACAGACATAATACACGTCCTGAAAGCTGCAAAAACGGCCAGACCAAACTTAGAAAAAAGCTTGAAAACCTTAAAACTTAAATCATACTTAGAGCCCGATTCAAAGCAAAATCTCCACATGGACCTCTTGCTGGAGATCCACTGAAGCTGTTGCAACCATTCACAAGCCCTGAAACCTCCTAAAACTCATTGTAAGTCGTCCTGAACATAACCCTGTACATGAGATCGTGATTCTATATTTTGGCATCTTTTGGACAAAGCGTTGGTATAATCATGCTTGCCATTCAATTTCCAGTCTTTCTGCATCATTTAATTTTGTTTTCATGAGCTATATCGCCATACCCGAACCTAGGGTTTTGGAGACTTGTATTTGGGCGTTCGTTTTACAGGAAAAATCAGGACCAACCATGGGCATAAATGAAATCAGGGGGAAGAGACGAGTAAGATGGTGATCTCAAAATTCGTTTCCATCGCCTATAGATTGTTTTAGGATCGATCCATGGATTTTGTTGCGGATCCAAATCCGCAGGAAAAAGAACAGGTTTTGTTGAAGAAGACGAAGACGTGGCTCGTCTTCATTGGCCCGTTCAAATAAATTTCGCGCGTTTTTTTTATTTCCAGTATATTATGCGTTTTTCCCTTATAATATTATTCATCCAGTATAATAACAAATACGCATGATGGTTGAGTTGGTAAGCGCATTATGCCAAAGTCCAATGGGACCTGGGTTCGAATCCCAGGTCCCCCAAATGCCTTTGTTTCATTTTTTCAGCAGGTATTCCCATGCAATATCCAAGAAATAGCACACCATGCATCATCACCTGATCAGGCGCCAGATGGCCTTCAGGTCAAATCCAATGGCCAAGATTGGACATCCACTATGGTCTCTAGTCAACATGTGCATATGGAATTACAGAAGTCAATGAAGGCCAATGTTAATGGGCTTGGAAAATTGCAAATCAAACCTCCCAGTCTGGGCCCAAACCCTCCCCAATGGGT